CAGGTCTTACTATCAGTAGTTCTACCGTACATGCAGAAAGCCATGAGGATGTTTATAGCAGAGGACCATGACCATACGAAAGCTAATAAAAGAACCGTCGGGGTATCGGTATTAACTCTGAGCTTTATTGGAGCAAGGAAGGGTAAGAGCGAGGAGAGCAGGTGGATTTACGAGCCAAAGCCAAGGCGAGTCTTAGCGGTGGAATATCCAGATGGAAGAAGAGGCTGTTGTTTGGACCTTTGACGTCTAAAGTAGTTTCCTATCGGGGCTAACAACATAAGAGCTTATCCCTTATTGCAAAGCTGTCAAAGAGGTCTTTAGACAATCTTATTCTTATTGGACAAATTTAAACTATCGGTCAGAGTGAAAAGGTTGGTGTTACGTTTGATGCACTTCAAGGCATGATTCTTGTAGGACCGAAATGATTAGGTCATTGCAATTGGCTCAAATTGGCTCTTTAACTTTTAAACACCAAGTCTTCCACGTGTCGACAATACTACCGTGTGACATGAGTTCGGCTACTCCCTATACGTCCCCGAAAATTGAACGAGCAGGGAATCTATCATTGCAAGAGAACTTGTAGCCTTCGATAAATGAAAAGTGAGGCTTGTAAACAGTATCAGTGCTCAAAAGAAACGAGTGCACGCTAAGTCCCGCCATACTTATGGCAATCAGACCTAACCTCTGACACAGAGGTGGATACCACATACCTCTTCACGTGCTAGCCCTGTAAAGCTGTTTTATGACAGGAGGATTTCAACAAAGAAGCCAGAATCTGAATGAGGTGACGAGGACCACAATGAAAGCGATCAGGAAAGACAGACAGACAGACCACAATTCAATAGATTAGTGAGTTGAACAGCAACAACGAAGTGCAGAGTTACAAAAAGAACATCTGCAGAGTCGAGATTGGCAACAGTGGAAAAAAGTACTTAATGGACCAGAGCGAGAGAGAACTAACACAGCGTTCAAGTCATGACTCTGCGTAACCAAAATCTTCCTTCAAGTGCAATTGCATTTTTATAGAGTTCGAATATCGATTAACCTTTGAAAGAGCTGGATTCAGACATTTTAGTTTTAACTGATTTTGTTAATTACTCAGCACCATTGTTTTTGCCTCAAAACGAGGGCGGATGTAGTGACCATAAATGATGGATAGTATGCTCGTCGTCTCTTTCCGAGACCTGACGAGTTAAGAAGGCAAATAGAATAACATAGAAAAGGTGGTTTCGCTTTAAGTGACCCTTTAATACAGGTGGAGGAGAATGCAAAGAAGGCCCTTGGGACTCATTCAAAGGTGACCACGACCGCTTAGTAAAAGTGAAATTAAAGTAATCT